TGGATGTTTTAATAGGTACGACCATAATGAGTCCATAATGAGTACGACCATAATGAGAGAGAAACAGAAGCAAGATAGGAGCTTCATGCCGCCAGTATCAAGTAATGAGTTGTCCATGTGTACCACCATGGAAGAAATTCATGAAAGTTGACATAACAAACAGTCCCTAGTTAGATTTCTTTGTGACTAAGCAGTACCTCATGACCTGGACCATATTAGTGGACATCCAGAAAGAAAGCTGATGCTGCTGGGGGATTCAGCAATAGTGAGAAGACTATTTAAAAGGAAGAAGACTATCTAAAAGGAAGAAGACTATTTAAAAGGAAGAAGATGCCCTCTCCACAAAGAAGCCGAGACCTGTATAATTCTTCATTCCATACATGTAGATATGGAATTCGCTTTTAGCTCCATTCAAGGCCAGGTCAAACTGAAGACACTATTTTATTGCAACATTTGAATTGTTTACCCTAGTGTTATCTAATACTTTACACAATTGTCTATTGCCTTGGGATGGGCACTGAGATTTCAAGGTGTCACACAAAGTGAATGTTTTCTGATGAAATTGATTTGTGAATTTCCAAAAAGGCCAATTTCCCCCAAAATATGATTTTCAGGTATTTATCTGTATTATTGCCTTTTAGTCACTTAATTGAATAAAAACAATTCAGAATATGACTTAATACCATTGGTGATGGAAACAGCTAAAAAATGAAGGATTTATATTTCTGATGAAATTGATTTGTGAATTTCCCAAAAGGCCGATTTCCCCCAAATATGATTTTCAGGTATTTATCTGTATTATTGCCTTTTTGGTCACTTAATTGAATAAAAACAATTCAGGATATGACTTAATACCATTAATGATGGAAACATAACAAAACAAATGAAGGATTTATATATCTAAATTAAACATCGTAATTATATATATTTTGGCCTTGGTGGGGTCATGTGACATAAATTTCTAAAAATCTGGACCATATCTGGTCACCACATCATGGCCTATATTAAAGTAGGCACAATAAGCTTTCCAATGAGCCATAATATGTCCATACAAGAGATGGGAGCATTAAACTCCTTTATTTGGCCACTTTTCTTAAAGCAAACCTCTCCTAATTACATCAACCACTTGTGTTAGGAGTGAGTGAGTGAGTATGGTTTTATGCTGCATATATTCTATCATAACTTAATGATCCATGCTCAAACCTAACTTCTTCATCTCCAAGGTCTGCATTTTGGTAAACCCACACTAAACCCTGGATCAATTACTGTGGTACTTGTGATTGTAAATTACCTGGCCTTGATTTTCATTCACATTTTACCGATCAATCAAATGTAGACATAAGGTAAGGGAGATAACACATACAACCTAGCATCCACCAGATACCACCAGTTGAACATGAAGATGAACATGAAGATGAACATGAACATGAAGATAACCTTTCCATCCAAGGTTTTCAAATGTAAAATAATATTGGCATTGGTACACATTTTAGAAGCCAAAAACTGTGTCACTAGTACTCTTGACCAGGATTCCAAACGTCAGCTGAACAACAATTAATAATGATTACTTTTGACAAAACTACCAGATCTGTATCAAACTTTGCCATGAAACTTTCCTAAAAATAAAGAAGACATTTCTCAACTCTGAAAACACTCCATTAAATGATGTTAAAGGTCACATGCAACCAAAAAATCAAACATAATTATAACACAATTATCACTTATTCATGACATGACATATAATATACATTGCTGATGCAATTATAAGCGTACAATCGCAAATCAAAAGTGCAATATTTTGTACTTGGGTTTACTTCCCTAGAAACGAAGCAGCCGGGATACCGAACCCAGTCAGAGCGGGTGGGTGTGTGTGCACTCAAGAGTAACGGCTGGTTCATTTGCAGATGCTCTCACGGCTCATTGTGTGTGTATATATAGAGATGTTGGGTTTTGTAAATACATGCTAATTTTTTGTGTATAACATTTTGCAATCAACAGACATCATAACATGTCATGTGTACAAGTATCACACCTGCCTGTCTGTGTAATTACATAATGTGACAGAGACCGAACTCGGGCCATAAATCAATGCGTTTTGTTTATGGTGTATAGCCTGATAGGTGTTAAGTTCAAATTGCATGTGGTCAGTGATCGAAGTTGTGTATTGAATATTGTCATTAGCAGACAGGCAGGCAGACACACAGGTGTCAATAAAACAGACATTGAGTTGTCTGTGACAACGACATATCTATATCACAGTTAGAAATTCTGTCAACGCTAAATAATAACATTGCTTTTAAGTATCGAACTGAGAAAGTTACTCGGTAAGAAGAATGTATGGTGAAATAGACAAATGAAATTATATAAACAGTTAAATCAGTAATCTACTGTCATAACATATAAAAAGCTCGCGCCTGTGAAATATCAACAAAACATTAGAAAAATAACTCATACCAAAGCCTTCACCGAGTATTCACCGGACAACCCGCTTCCTAGCTGCGCGAACCTATTTCAATGCGCATATGCTATGAGCGCGCCCCAGCCCAGCCGTTGAAACCACTTTTCCCCCAAGTGCTGGGGGAAAATTAGTGAATCGTTTGAACTCCGATTTCGCACATTTTTTTTCATCGCGTTATTTTTCAACTTTATAAGTTGAATTTGCATTTTTGATGATTTGTTTCGGTAAGTCCATATCGAAAGGTATCAGAATCTGCAAAGTTGTGTTTTACGTTGCATGTGACCTTTAAAGTTATTGGTTGAACAAATATGATGTGGAACTCTTTCCCGGGTTCAAGAGATATAATTTGTGATAATTCTTGATAAATTAAAAATATCCACACATAACTTTTGCACTGTACCTCTCTTAAATGTTGACAGTTGAACAGAAATGTTTCCATATGGATGGACGGACGGGCAGATGGATGGATGGAATTCCTTAGTATATCAATACAAAATCCGGGCTATAAACATTTTGAGGTAAGACTATTTAAGCATGTTCTTGTTGTGCCACATTACCATGGGCTACCTATGTTTTGTATTAGAGATCGACTGACCACACACCTGAATACACAAAACCTCAAGAAGTAGAAATGTTAGCTGAATGTAAACTTTCCATCCACCTGTTTTCCCACTGCAGTCTGAATTTCATACCTACTTGATCCTTGTTCATTTCATGATAGACATGAGTAGTGTGTACATACAGTCTCTGAATGGCCAAGGGAGCTACTGTTTACTACTGTTATCACATGTTCTTCAGTCTCTGAATGGCCAAGGGAGCTACTGTTTACTACTGTTATATGTGTTCTTCAGTCTCTGAATGGCCAAGGGAGCTACTGTTTACTACTGTTATACGTGTTCTTCAGTCTCTGAATGGCCAAGGGAGCTACTGTTTACTACTGTTATCTCTGAATGGCCAAGGGAGCTACTGTTACACGTGTTCTTCAGTCTCTGAATGGCCAAGGGAGCTACTGTTTACTACTGTTCTTCAGTCTCCTGAATGGCCAAGTGTTTACTTCAGTTCTTCAGTCTCTGAATGGCCAGGGAGCTACTGTTTACTACTGTTATACGTGTTCTTCAGTCTCTGAATGGCCAAGGGAGCTACTGTTTACTACTGTTATAAGTGTTCTTCAGTCTCTGAATGGCCAAGGGAGCTACTGTTTACTACTGTTATACATGTTCTTCAGTCTCTGAATGGCCAAGGGGCTACTGTTTACTACTGTTATACGTGTTCTTCAGTCTCTGAATGGCCAAGGGAGCTACTGTTTACTACTGTTATAATGTGTTCTTCAGTCTCTGAATGGCCAAGGAGCTACTGTTTACTACTGTTACTGTTATACGTGTTCTTCAGTCTCTGAATGGCCAAGGGAGCTACTGTTTACTACTGTTATATCTCGTGTTCTTCAGTCTCTGAATGGCCAAGGGAGCTACTGTTTACTACTGTTATACTGTTTACACGTGTTCTTCAGTCTCTGAATGGCCAAGGGAGCTACTGTTACACTACTGTTATACTGTTTACTACGTGTTCTTCAGTCTCTGAATGGCCAAGGGAGCTACTGTTTACTACTGTTATACATGTTCTTCAGTCTCTGAATGGCCAAAGGAGGTACTATTTGCTACTGTTATACATGTTCTTCAGTCTCTGAATGGCCAAGGGAGCTACTGTTACACGTGTTCTTCAGTCTCTGAATGGCCAAGGGAGCTACTGTTTACTACTGTTATACGTGTTCTTCAGTCTCTGAATGGCCAAGGGAGCTACTGTTTGCTACTGTTATACGTGTTCTTCAGTCTCTGAATGGCCAAGGGAGCTACTGTTACACGTGTTCTTCAGTCTCTGAATGGCCAAGGGAGCTACTGTTACACTGTTTACTACTGTTACACGTGTTCTTCAGTCTCTGAATGGCCAAGGGAGCTACTGTTTACTACTGTTATACGTGTTCTTCAGTCTCTGAATGGCCAAGGGAGCTACTGTTACGTGTTCTTCAGTCTCTGAATGGCCAAGAGAGCTACTGTTACACGTGTTCTTCAGTCTCTGAATGGCCAAGAGAGCTACTGTTACACGTGTTCTTCAGTCTCTGAATGGCCAAGGGAGCTACTGTTACACGTGTTCTTCAGTCTCTGAATGGCCAAGAGAGCTACTGTTACACGTGTTCTTCAGTCTCTGAATGGCCAAGAGAGCTACTGTTTACACGTGTTCTTCAGTCTCTGAATGGCCAAGGGAGCTACTGTTACACGTGTTCTTCAGTCTCTGAATGGCCAAGGAGCTACTGTTACTGTTACGTGTTCTTCAGTCTCTGAATCAGTCTCTGAATGGTCTCTGAATGGCCAAGGGAGCTACTGTTACACATGTTCTTCAGTCTCTGAATGGCCAAGAGAGCTACTGTTACACGTGTTCTTCAGTCTCTGAATTCTGTCAGTCTTCAGTCTCTGAATGGCCAAGAGCTAGCTACTGAATGGCCAAGAGAGCTACTACTGTTACTACTGTAATACTTGTTCTCACTCACCTTTCTTTCCATCATCCCCTGGCTTGACCTCTCCACTAGTTGGTGCCTTTGTTGTGCCAGTCTGGGGATTAAAGGACTCATGTCAAACAAGATAGAGGCATTTTTTCACACCCTCAAACAAATATCTAACTCAGCATGTTGAAAATGTAAATATTCACTTGGTTGGATCGATCTCTTTACAGGGTGTCCTGACATTATTCAGTTTACCCATCAGTCAGACAGCTTAACAACAACAAACCATATGGCTGATTGTACAGAAAAGCCCCTAATAGTAATAGTTATTTTTAATGGTTTGGTCCCACAGTTTATGATAGACAAATAAAGAGAATATTGATTCCTTTATCTCTTATTTTACGTTCAAAATATGATATAGCAAACTTTATATGAAAAATCTATAAAAAACCAACAAATTCCTTAAAAAAGAAATTCAATTTTTTCACATTAAGTAGGATAATACTTACTGATGAGTCAGTGTGATCTTCGGAGGTCTTTTTATCTGAAACACATTACATCACTATAAAATATCCTTTCAAGCACCACAATAGAATCATGTTTTGTATGACACTTACAACTGTATCTTGGCCATCTTACTGATTGTAGCTACAGAGTAAGGCAGCCTTCCACCCACGAGGTGACCACCCTATCTATTACACCATGCTGATGTAAACAAGGGAGACTCATTCAAGGTAAGCCAGAACATAAAGCTCACAAGATCTTACAGCAGGCTGTTAGTGACTCAGACTGCACCTTTAGTTACACATATATCAAAATGAAGACTGGTTTTAAAAAATCTTGCTTCAGATCTTAGTCAAACATGAAGTTCCTATCAATCTACAAAATGTTTTCCATGGCTTCAAAATTGGCAGCAAATCACAACTGTCACTGCTTACCATGGGTTGCATAAAAAGCTTAACCTTCTAACTGGATCCAAATCTGTATGCATTAGAATAGCAAAGTTAAACTAGATGTGTAGTTTTGGACAGCGATGAAAAGCAAGATATTTTGTGACTAACTTTTCTCTAATTAGAACACATACATATTTATATTCTGCAATTACTAACACAAAATGGCACACATAAATGCTTAAAAGATAAAGGACTGTTACATATCACCTAGATTTAGTTTATATCCTTATATATCATACCTCCACAGTCTGAGTAAGGATGGAATGATAGAAGGGGAATAACTCTCCCAGTTCTCAATTACAACACTTCATTAACCTGTATCATAGATCTTGATGTAAACAAGATTGTATTTGCTGCAATGGAACCAATTATTTCCTTTAAACAGAAATATAAGAAACATAATAAAAATATCACAAACAAAACATTATTATGTTTAACTTGGAAGGATTTCAAAATTACATATTCTTAAACCTGTGAAGATCCGGGGTAGAATAGGTCTTCAGCAATCCATGCTTGCCACAAAAGGCAACTATGCTTGTCGTCGTAAGAGGCGACTTACGGTATCGGGTGGTCAGGCTCGCTGACTTGGTTGACACATGTCATCAGTTCCCAATTGCGTATATCAATGCTCATGCTGTTGATCACTGGATTGTCTGGTCCAGACTCGATTATTTACAGACCGCTGCCATATAGCTGGAATATTGCTGAGTGTGGCGTAAAACTAAACTCACACACAAATTCTTAAGTATTTTTTTCCAAAAAAATAAGCAAATTGTATTTATAGGTAGTGATGGTTATTTGTCAGTAACATTCTATGTGCCATCTGTGCAATCAGGACAATTTTGGGTACAAGACAACAACCTGTAAATAATTGAAAATGGACATCCAATCCATCAACTGATATTGGTAGGCAGTAAATAATTCAGCCCTACCCGTAAAATCAACAGTAAAGAGCCATATATGGAACACAGCTTCTATTCTTTAATCTGCTCTCATAATTTTTCCAAGGCTTCTTTGTTTTTCAAACCTGAATAACATTGCAGGGTAGAGAGCTATCTATTTTCAGTAGCTAATCCAGCTTTGTTTCATTTCAATCCAACTTAGTATGCTGATATTACACATTATTCAGTATTTCATAGTTGTATTACACTAAACTTCCATGACTAATTTTTACAAAAATATTTTTAGGTCATTTTACACCAGCATTAAAATTCATCAGTATCCTCATTGAGCACTTCCTATTGCAAAAATGGAGGAAGTCTCAGGTGCCTACACTAAGGCTTGTTGTATTCTGACCCAGGGATTCACATGGAGTCCTGTATTTGAGGGTCCCTGGGACTCATACTCTTAATTTTCAGGGGTCCTGGACAACAAGATTGGGGTCCCAGACACTTAAATATTATTATTAATACTGTCATCGTATTGTGTATCGTGATCCTCACATTAATTGTTACAGTAGTTAAATTGCAAATAATACCACAACCCAGCTATTAGCAAACTCTGTGATAACTTATTGTCACTTGATAGGAATTTTTACAAAAAGTATTTGGACTTTTTCTGAGTCCCTGTGGATGCGCTAATAAATTTGGTTGCATCAATTGCCAAATTTTATGAGTATAGGACGCAGGAATTCGCGTCCTGTAAATCCCTGCTGACGAAAGCAATAGTCTGATGTACTAACAATACTGTATCTCTGTCCCCACAATATGCTTTACATTATGCTCGTAGGCATCAAATCAGAATCAGAAAAGTGCATATTAGGACACAGTTCTTGAGCATGTTGTTTGTTAGCCTGTTTGTTGCTTATGGCTGCACTCAACAATGTTCCAGCTATGTGAAAGCAGCCTGTAAATATTTGAGTGTCGACTAGACAATCCAGGGGCAGATACTGTCAGCAGAGATCTACATTCTTACACGATCTACATTCTTACACCATCTACATTCTTACACCATCTACATTCTTACACCATCTGCATTCTTACACGATCGACATTCTTATACGATCTACATTCTACACCATCTACATTCTACACCATCTACATTCTACACGATCTACATTCTACACCATCTACATTCTTACACCATCTACATTCTTACACGATCTACATTCTTACACCATCTACATTCTTACACCATCTACATTCTTACACCATCTACATTCTTACACGATCTACATTCTTACACGATCTACATTCTACACCATCTACATTCTTACACCATCTACATTCTTACACGATCTACATTCTTACACCATCTACATTCTTACACCATCTACATTCTTACACAGTCTACATTCTTACACCATCTACATTCTTACACCATCTACATTCTTACACCATCTACATTCTTACACCATCTACATTCTTACACGATCTACATTCTTACACCATCTACATTCTTACACGACCGACATTCTTATACGATCTACATTCTATACCATCTACATTCTACACCATCTACATTCTACACCATCTACATTCTACACCATCTACATTCTTAAACCATCTACATTCTTACACGATCTACATTCTACACCATCTACATTCTTACACCATCTACATTCTTACACCATCTACATTCTTAAACCATCTACATTCTTACACCATCTACATTCTTACACCATCTACATTCTACACCATCTACATTCTTACACCATCTACATTCTTACACCATCTACATTCTTACACCATCTACATTCTTACACAGTCTACATTCTTAAACCATCTACATGATCTACATTCTACACGATCTACATTCTTACACAGTCTACATTCTTACACCATCTACATGATCTACATTCTTACACCATCTACATTCTTACACATCTACATTCTTACACCATCTACATTCTACACCATCTACATTCTTAAACCATCTACATGATCTACATTCTACACGATCTACATTCTTACACAGTCTACATTCTTACACCATCTACATGATCTACATTCTACACCATCTACATTCTTACACCATCTACATTCTTACACATTTACACAAAATCAAGCAAGTCACCTGATCACTTGTAACACACAATCCAAACACATATATTTTGTTTAACAACTACTTCAATACTTCCCTGTAAATGGTACTGGTAAATTTGATTTTACTCCACTTTAAGCAATATTCCAGCAATATCACGGCACTGGACACCAAAACTGGGCGTCACACATTGTACAAATGTAAAAAATCGACGACGAGTCAATGAGTGATTGATAGTTTCTTGTTTATTGCTGCACCCGGCACTATTCAAGCTGTATGAAAGCAATCTGTAATGGACCAGACAATCCAGTGATCAACAGCATGAACATCGATCTACACAATTGGGAACCAATGACATGTGTCAACCAAGTCAGCAAGCCTGATCCCGTCAGTCACCTCTTACGACAAGCCGGGGTTGCTGGAGACCAATTCTAATCTGGACCTTCACAGGTACCGGATTTGTGAGAGTACAGCAAGACATGAACAAAAAGGAAATGATCGTGATTTTACGTAACAGATTCGGATCATTCATTCGGTCAGGTATTGACAGAAATCAGCTTTTTCAGAGTTCGTTCTAAATATCCATGCATAGCACACGGAACATATCTCGATGATGAAATGATTTATTAAATATTACACCACCATGTAACATAAAATGTCGGGTCAATGAGTGATGAGTGCTTTAACCACTAGACTAGACTAACCACCCAACCCTTATGACTAACAAACAAGGTTACCTTTGGTTTCAAGGACCAGGTCCGCCTTCACACAGTTGGAGTTCTCATCCCGATGGTAGTCCTGCTCACACTTACACAGCCCCATACGAGACTTGGAGCCCTCTCGCAGGACACACACCTCATGCTCATGCTTACATTCTCCCAAGATCCCAAACTCACACGTTGTTGGCTGAGTCAGTGGTGGTGACGTTGTGCTGCTGCTGCTGCTGCTGCTGCTGGTGTACTCTGAGGAAAGAAGATGATAATATTTGATACTTCAGTCTGCTGTGAGTGAGCTTTTGATTCCTCTTTCCACAATACTTGTTCAATATCAAGGCAGGGCACACTTAAGTTGGCTTCATGGGTACATTGTACCTTTGCGGGGCATCAAACCCTGTTATTCTGTGTGACAAGCAAAGTGTTTAACACTGGTCTACCTCAACTTCCTACAAACTGCCTGATCATTCTTTCTAATAGGGTCTATATGCCATGCTATATGATATAAGACATGCTACAACATTTTAATCAAAAACTCAACATCATAACAGCAAAGACATCAATACTTCAAAATTGGTGTTTGGTTTATCACTGACTGACTGACTGAGTTTGGTTTTACGCTGCTTTTAGCAATATTCCAGCAACATCACGGCGGGGGACACCAGAAATGGGCTTCACACATTGTACCCATGTGGGGATTCGAACCTGGGTCTTCGGCGTGACGAGCCAACGCTTTAACCACTAGGCTACCCCACCGCCCCTTTGGTTTATGAAGAAATATGGCGCAGTGCTTTCAATCGTCAGTACATGTGTTGTCTTTCTAACTTGATCTCATCTTACCAATAATAAACAATATAACTAACATACAAAAAGATCAGACAGGAATATGTGTCTGTCATGAATAATGGCTGTAGGTCCCATCAAATATGGCTTGAGATAAATAATCAAGTTCACAAAGGGCAGATAATTCTTCATCTTTGATAGGCTGTTCTCTAAAGCCCAAGGACCTATTAACTCAGTCCTCACCGGATTCAGCAATATTATATGAATGAGACAGTCTGGATATAATCAAGTCAGGATCAGAGAATCCTGGACCCAGAGTCCCACAGCAGACTAACCCGAAAGTCTCCAGTAAATCACCTAGTTTCTGCTAGGGAGGACAAAATGATATGGATTCCCCAGATTTATCTGCTGTTTCTCTTTCAAGCAGAATTAATTAGTTTTCATCAATCCAAGGTCAACTCGTTCTCTGACCTTATTACAGTTTTATAACTGGTTGTTTAGTTTAAATCAAAATGAAGAAATCTATCGAGAAATTCGATTGGACAATATGTAGTTAAGACATAAAAAAATTGATACTGACAAGCATCAGATCGACAAAAATCAGCAGACCATCCCTTTAATGTAATCTCTATTGTTTATTAATTCCTAACACTTGTCACAGGTGCAATAACTGCAGGAAACAAATAAAACTGCAGCAAGTCTCTAAGCTTCCATCCCAGTAAGCAATATCAGGGGCTTGTAACTCGGATCATAGCAGATTGATCTGGCCATGTCAGCAATTTGTGCCAAAGAGAAACTTAGAAACAAAAATTACTGATTCTAAATTTTGTTCATCTGAGATATATCATGAAAACATTTCAGGCTCCTAAATGCCCAGTTATTTTCTTGCAACAAGTTTTTAAATCTCATAAAAGTGAACAGTTCATGTATTTGTGAATTGTAGTCCCTCACAACTGGACCCACATTAAAGAATGGAATTACACAGTAGTAGGTAGGAACTAGTTCCTTGTCTTTGCAACCAAAACTGCTTGCAAAGATTGGACTACTCAGAAGGACAATAGGGCTAAATATTGTTCAAGGTTTTGTTTTACATATACATTATAAGGAAACAATTATTTCATTATTTTAGACAGCACATCAATAAATATGATAAAGGTACTGAGATAGGTTTAGTAACTATAAGCTAACAAAATGTTTCATATTTTATATAATTCATTTGTGTGATGTAGAACGTTATTGCTGTCATGCTTATGTAATTCATGTAAAGTGATCCTTGTGATACACACAAACCTGAACTTCCACTCTAAAATCAAGACTGCCAATCACAAATAAGCAAGAATGTATATAAGGGGCATAACTCTGCATCACTTTAATGTAGGCCACTCAGTTAGAAGTGTAATTCAATAAGGATCTCAGCAATATACATCCATCATGTCTACAGTGTTTTATTCATGATCAACAAAACATGTAAGACAGAAAGATCCATAAAGAAACTATATTTGTTTACATTTATTTGTAATGTAAAAGAAATTAAAAAAATATTTTTTTAAATATTTCAATTAAAACGGATGAACAAAGGATTCACATTACACAGGGGCACTTTTTGTCCAGATTACTCCTACTGATATTTTTATAAGTCACTTGTAGTGCCTGGAGAAAACCCCAAAGGACAGACATCAGGAATAACACAATCACAAGAATGATCATGGTGTTGGAAGAAAAGTGCACTGCTATGCTCTTCAAGGCTGAAATGGGAACATTTTTGTTTGAAGTTATCAGTATTTTCTCAAATTCATGTAATATTCTGAATATTTTGCTCATGGCTCAAAATCAGCAATGAGATATGGGCCAGTTTCTAAGATCATTGTGAACCTCTAATGGAACAATGTAGCAGCAAATTAAGCATTGAAGAGAGGAAAAACAGGACAGCTGAATACACGATATGCTTTTGTTATGGCTCGAGATGTTGTGACAGTTTAGATGACATTTCACTGACATGTTAACAAACTGTTTCTAAAAAAGAATCTTTGACAAATACGATCAGGACAAGATACAGGTGTACAACCTGGTTTAAAGAATATTTCTTTTCAAAAAGTACATGAAATGTTTAAAAGCTTTTAAATCTCTTCATACCACATAATCACCGGAGTTCAATTCCAGTGTATTTTAAGTGGTACCTGTTATTGGAATACTGTGAAAATCCTGAAAAGTGATAACACCACATTTCAAAATTTGTTTCTTAAAGGCACTACATCACATCACAACACAGACTGAATGACATCAGCTTCAATAGATCAATTTTTCTACAAAACCATTGGACAAAATGCACTATGTCATACCGCGCTTCTCTAAAAATAAACAATGCATTTGTCTCAATAATACTATCAGCCCTCAGGGAAGCTACCATATAATTTATCGGGCCCCCCAAAATTATGCATTTAGAATACAATATCGAATTAAAAAGTTTGAATGAATTAATGCAACGTTGCATTAAATCGACACTCACGCCCTCTACTGGCCGAACATTATTTCAAGCAAACCCCATAGAGTTATGTCCCTTGGAGCATTCTTTACAAATATCCTATGCACAACCTGTGATTGAAACCAGTTCAGCAAACACCGACAATACCGCATGTGACAGTGTTCAGATGTACGGAGCAACTGTTTACATTCAATATATGGCAAGTGTTCCCTGTTGGGAAGCTGTTCGCCTCGAAGTTTCAATTATCGATTTCAGGGAAGTTGTAAGTTATAATAAGTCTTTTATTGCATCAATAGGAAGTAAGTGCATAAGCCCCAATATATGTAATATAGGCCAAAATATTGTCGAAAATGTGTGACATTGTGCCTTTAAAACCCAGTAGTATACAATTTTCTTGAAAAGTCAGATGTTGCACCTTTAACAACAGCTATGCATACTGCCCATCTGAACACCTCCATTAGCATATGATGGGGTCTCTAACTGACAAAAACACTTCAAAAGCCAGGCATATCAGCCAAATTGGAAACATTCAAGAAACACTGACAGATGGGATCGTTGGTTATAAATCAGCCCGATTCTACATGTTCCAGTTCAGCACAAAGACTGCTGGAGTTGTGCATCAGGGTCGGACAACAGGTCTTATTGATTATGAGATGAGATCTGGAGTGTACTAGAGCCCCATTGATCAGCAGAGACATCAGGTGGTTATTGAAAAATCTTTTCTGACACATATGGGATTTCTTCTTGTTTTTCTTCACAAAATAACTGGGTCGACATAAACAAACTTGTTTTCAGGAGAAACATTCTTATTTTCATGTCATTTCAAATATAATGAAAATCAATAAACTTCTGAAATATTAGACGTTCAAATGGATTTGTGGGAATCCCCATTTGGGACAGTTTTTACATTTCACACAGACCATGTTTACTGGCACTGAAGCAAATCAAACAAAGTTTCTCATATTGTCACAAATATATCATTCTACACTGAATATTGTTTTTTTATGTCATTACATCCATTTCTATACACATGTTTAACCTTTTATCTCGAATCTGAAACCAAAGGGCAGGTAACTCTAATTTGCCAAAGCAAAAGCACAATGGCAACACTGACTGACTGAGTTTGGTTTTACGCCGCTTTTAGCAATATTCCAGCAACACCACGGCGGGGGACACCAGAAATGGGCTTCACACATTGTACCCATGTGGGGATTCGAACCCGGGTCTTCGGCGTGACGAGCCAACGCTTTAACCACTAGGCTACCCCACTGCCCACAATGGCAACAATCTCTACAGCTACTTATATGATTTCAATAAAAAAAAAATATTCCAACTAGAGAAATTTGCATCATGTCATAATATCAGGGTAAACCAAAATTCAGAAACACAAACCTTTATGTTTCGGCCTTAGGGAACACTGAACATATTGACTTTAGGCAAATAGCATGTCTAGGAGTAAATCCTGTACCAGTCAACGTTTTCTCCGCATGCACTCAAGACTACATAAATGACATGAAAACTCCCATAAAGCATCAGAGGTCTTGGTTTACTATAATTTCAAGTTATTGTCATGAAAACTATAAACAATATTGTTGAAATGCTAACAGTGATCAGTTAGAACTGATACAAGGAAGACATGTAGTACCCAATGGTTGTAAACGAGTAATAAATATGGCAAGGGCTGAGATACAAAAACAACCAACTATTTGCCTTAGCAAGACATATAATTGAATGTTGATAACAGTTTTAAATCAGATTGAATATACTTTCACTTTTTATAGATGATGCCTACATATAACTATATGTTTGTTTGAAAATATTTTTACAGAAAATGTTTTTATCAGCAGGTACGAAAATACATAAATCTGAAAATCTTGTTTTATTTTCTCTGCTGTTTGTAAATCAGTGAACAAAATTGCTAGAATTTTACCCTTTTATTGAATTTTCTGAGGCTTTTACTGTTTGGACGGCTCCTTACTGCTAG